ACATTTTAAAAGTGTCAGTCATACCACCATTTAAACCTACTCTGACCCTCATAAGTCTGCAGTTGATGTTGGCAATTTGAACTTTTCCCCACAGTCTATATTTTAACGCAGCATAAAGATTGTTCTGAATGTTCTTGGTATATTTTCTTATACTATGGTTCAGAGCAGAACACTGATCAATGGTACTGTGTCATCCTCTGAACCCCACTTCTTGTTACTTTGCAACCAATCTAATAATTTTTGAAAGGGATACCATGCATATAGCTTTGAGATGTCCAACAAGCTAATTGGCCTATGGTTTTGTAGAGCATTCCTTTTTAAAAATAATAATTTTTATTAGTTTTAACATATAAATTATAAAACATACCACAAAATTTCACCACTTCCATCAGCGCCTCTGATGATCCACTGTTTTAACCACTTTTTATGCATTTCTTAAATTCATATTGCCTTTAACTAACCATCCTCCCCTTAGTCCATTTTTGCAATCGTTCCAATAATTCTCCTCACAAAACTTCTTGCAAACCTACAAACATAGTCTGATCATCACAAATACTTTTCATATAATCTGTAAATTTACTCCAGTCTTCTGTGAATTTCTGGTCCCGCCAATTACGAATCCTTCCTGTTAGTTTATCTAGTTCTGCATAGTCCATTAATTTCATCCTCCATTCTTCTTTCGTCGGTAATTCTTCTTGCTTCCATTTTTGTGCCAATAATGTTCTTGCTGCCATTGTTGCATATAAAAACAATTTGCATTCCTTTCTATTTATATCACTTCCTACAATGCCCAGTAAAAATGCTTCTGGTTTCTTTATAAATGTATATTTCAACATTTTTTTCATCTCATTGTATATCACCTCCCAGAGGTTTTTCACCTTTTTACATTCCCACCACATGTGATAAAACGTTCCTTCTTTTTCTTTACATTTCCAACATTTATTACTAACTTTATACATTTTAGCTAACTTAACGGGTGTAATATACAATCTATACATCATTTTCATCACATTTTCTTTTAAGGCATTGTAGAGCATTCCTATCCCCTTTCTTATAAATCAGGAATATGATACTCATTTTCCACCCAGAGGGCATTTGGCCCATGGCTAAACAGTCATGATATGAAAACACACACACACATATCCCCTTAATTAATTCTATGGCAGGTTTTGTGTGTGTATTTCAAAAAAGCAGTGAATATTTTAAAACTCTTTTGATTATAATACCGCTCTTATATTTAACTCACTCAAAGTATGTGGGATTCTAACACATCCAATTATGCTCATTGTTCTACACTACAGTATGATGTTGTTACCCCACCACCCCTTCCTGGGTATTCTTTAGAAAATAAGACAGCCAATGATTGATACTGTAATTTCAAGACTGGGGACACAGCTATACAGCAGCAAATAAAATGTTCTAAGTGTATTGTAAAGGGCATTATACAAATCTGACACTAGATGGCTATGGCGAGCTATGGCAAATTCAATACAGTTTTCAAAACATTTTTTTCAAAAAAAGCATTTTCACAACGTTTTTTTTAAAATATGTGCATAGATTCCACCAGTGTTTGATCAAAGTGCAGGATAACACATACCCACCTGAATTATTTTTGGGAAACGTTATTTCTACGGCTTCTTGTGTGGCAACTGATGAGATATAAATGCAATAAATTCATTCCTTAAGAAGAAAGAAATTACTATTTCCCATGCAAAATTCCATTGCCCAAAATATCTATTACTGACTTAAAGGAAAGTAGCTCAGCACTTGACTGTCATATAACCCATTTCTATTGACCAAGTACATTGCAGTTATTTCACAGTGGAACACTTTTGCCAGAGGCCAGAACACAGACTATCAAGATCAGTATGGGAAGCAATTTAGATAAATTTCCAGTCCAGCTACAAGCAAGGATGACTCATACTTTGTATGGAATTTAGCCCTGCTCTCACTCTTATTGTGGGATTCATTTCTGGGAGGTTAGCATTAGAGTTCTTCCCTTCAAAATGGTATCTCTCCCCTGTCATTCTCTCCCCTGTCATTTTGACTCTTAGGGAAATGCTATGCCAAAGAGGTGTATTTTTACAGTGTGACCTAGTGGTGGTGAGGCGATGACATTATCTTATTATCAACATCCCCAAGTACTCGAAAATAAACCCGCTGCTGAGTCAAATCCACAAGGGGCGATTTGTTAAATTACAGGACACCAAGAGTGAATAAAATTGAAGGCACTGAATCAGAAGAGGCATAAATACCGTGTGTCCTGTTTTTTTCTGGAACCATTGCCATAAAAAGTCTCATAGCACAAGTACCCTTGCATTTTAAAAAGTTTGCCATGTGCTCATTTAAAATATTGATGATACTTATTTGTTGCCATTTAGAACTGAGGTCAAATGTTGCAGTTGGCACAATTGATGCAAGGGTACCCAGCCCTGGAGACTGCCTGAGAACTAAGCTATTTATGAACTCTTTAGGGTGAGCCACACAATTCATAAGCTGTGTTGCCAGTCAACACTTGGGATCATTATAGGTACACAAGCACCTGACAGGTTTATGCAACATCTTTTTGACCACATGTTGTAGGCAGAAATTATGTTCTTTCAGAAGAAAACCTTCTCGATCCTACAAGATGGAAGAGACAAATGTCCCTTTCCCACTTGATTTTTGTATTTTGTAAGTGACTTTACACTATCCCGTTTATAGATAATATCCACAAGAGGAACTATAAAGCAACAGTTGGGATACTACATTATTGGCAGTCCCCATATGAGCAGTACATACTTGCATTAAAATTAGATGGATAAATAAAATACTTTCAGGAATGGATGCTAGATGCTTTTGCAGGAGAATTTTAAAAAGTACTTGCAATTCTTGCACTATAGTGCCATCTACTGTGCCGAACCTTATTTTAAAATGGCTAGAAATTACTCTTGCCGCAACATGGTACTCAGCTTGCATAAATATGCCTCTTGTACCTGCCATTTCTTTCACTTTGCCTAAACCAAATGTGAATCTGCTGAACTGTGCATTTTCAGAGTTTCCAGCATTGTCTAATACTCCAATGTGTGATTCTAACACTTATTCCGAGGGCTTAGAATAGGATATTAACAGATATACTGGGCTAACATGATGTTGTGCCAGTGTTGTTAGATGTTATGAACATAGCTGTCAACCGTCCCTTATTTGGCAGGAAACTCCCTTATCCCAGCGCCGTGTCCCGCTGCTGTCCCGGATTGATGATATCCCGTGGTCAGGGAGGAGGGAGGCTCCAACTGTGTTGCTTGGCTGCGTTGCTCACCCAATAAGGAGTCTAAGAACGACTGGGGGGTGGAGCTTGCATGCTTTGTGCCAATCAAATCGGCCACGTTGCCTGGGGACTTGCCTTTGCTCGGCGCTTCCCAGCGGAAAGGTGACGGTGGTTTTCCTTGCTGCATCCCCTTTGCCGGGTTGCTGCACTGTGGGAACCACAGCTTGAGGCTTTGTTTGGCTGCTGGCTGGGCTTTCTGTCTTTGGCTCGGAGGGGCTCAGAAGTTGAACATACTGTGCTCAGAATCGGATGGATACATCATCAACCGCCCACTCACCCTTGCCGGGGGAAAGGTCTGTCTGGTGCATGGGCACATGGCTGGGGGGGGGGTCCCTTATTTTGGCTGCTGGTCCCTTATTTTTGAGGCTGCTGGTCCCTTATTTTCAAATCTGTAAGTTGACAGCTATGGTTATAAAAGCTACCTTTGGGCACACAGAACCTCCTTCAACACCTGCTCGATTTATAATTTGCCTAATATGGTAAGGTTGCCGGATTCTTTTCAATGAATCCGGGGGCGCTTTTCAACTTTGGTTGATGGAGATGGATTTTGTCAGGGGACTGATTTGTAAATGTGGGGACTTTCCCCGGGAAATGGGGACATCTGTTAAGCTTGTAATATGGCAGTCTCAGTGTGTCTTGACACCAAGGCACCCACATCACATTTTAAGAAACAAAGAAAGGAAAGGCACCTGACGCAAGACCTTGGAAGAGCTGTTGCCAGCTAATTTTAAAATATACAACACCGAACTAGGTGGGCCAACGACTCAGTATGATAGTTTCTTATATCCATAAGCTCATTTGAACAAAATACTGTAGCATTGGTATTTCCAACACCATCTTATCTGTAGGAACATAGGACACTGTCTTATATCAAGTTGAATCATTAGCCCATGTAGTTCTATACTGGTTCTCAGCATCACTCCCAGGTTTGAGAGCTCCAGGGATTCCAGGCACTTAACCCAGGGTTTGTGTTCCTCAGAATGAGTGACAGCGGAGACTGCGGTGTCTGTAGGATATATGGCTTATTGACACACACACACACACAATCTGAGCCTACAATGGAGGGGCTCAGAGTCAACACCGCAAGGTCTTGCTTCTCTGACCATAGCCTTGGATTCCAGCACAGATTTCCATCTGCCACCTGCTTCTAGCTCACTAAAGGTAAAGGACCCCTGGACAGCTAAGTCCAGTCAGAGGCAACTCTGGGGTTGTGGTGCTCATCTCGCTTTCAGGCCGAGGGAGCTGGCGTTTGCCCAAGAGAGTGGTGCCCTAAGCTATTAGCTTGTTTAGCTTATACGTAAATCCGGCACTGCCTATTAAAACAAACGAACAGACACACACACATCATTGACCGCAGTCAAACGTCTGGCTTTTCCTGCAGCTCAAAACCGGGGGGGAAAGAAAGCAAAAGCAACCCCCAAAACAAACGCAATACACCTCCCATGGTGGGAACGTCTCCAAAACGTGACCTAAGCTTTTCTAAGGGCTCCCTGACTTCCATTGCTTTTCAGATCCCTGAACGATAGTAGCAGGAAGAAGGCGGAGAGCGGGGCGGGGGAGGGGGGCGATACCCCGCTTTAGAACTTTCCCCGTACTTTATGACGCTCATAGTGGGAAAGCCCACGCCCACCTTTCTCTATGGTTTTCGTGAAGCAAGAGCGGCACCGGAAGAAAGAGAGGGAGGGGGAACCGGAAGAAAGGGACAAGAGAAAGGCATGCTCAGTGCGCATGCCCCTGCAGCCGACGGCGGTTTCTTTTGAACCTTCCTCATGGAGTTCACCGACGGCCCGCCGCGTTGTGCCCGGCCTGTCTTGACAGGTAGCGGCCCAGCGGAGAGGCGGCCTCTTATCAGGCCTCCCAGTAGGGATGGGGGAGCCTCTGGAGCGCTTTCCCCACATGTGCGGGCAAAGGAGAGCGGGGTCTGCCCCTTTTGGTCGGCTTGGACTGGCGACGGGGAGGTGGGGGGCGCCCTCAGGCAGAGGACTTTTTCCAGCTTGGGGCGAAAGCTGGGCCAAGAAGGAGGCAGACGCGCAGGGGTTGCAGCCTTTTCTCTCCCCCTCGCACTCGCCCACGCGCTCCTTCCTAAGGCATGTGCGTGAAGTTAGCCCTTGGGGGCTCACTAGAAATTTTTGGGGGGCGGGAGTCTTTAGATCAAGGTCAGGAGCCCCTCTCCGCTCAGCCCCCCCCCCGCTCGTTTTCCATGGCTGACTGTATAATGTAACAGACCGCATGCTGTATACCCAGTTTCTTAAGGGCTTAAAAATAATAAATCCCCATTTTAAACAGTACTGAATACAGTCATACCTCGGGTTACAGATGCTTCAGGTTGTGCGTTTTCAGGTTACGGACACACTGAAACTCGGAAGTACCGGAATGGGTTACTTCCGGGTTACAGCGCTCACGCATGCACAGAAGTGCTAAATCGCGCTATGTGCAGAAGCGCCAAATCGCAACCCACATGTGCGCAGGCACAGCGCTGCGGGTTGCGGACGTGCCTCCCACACGGATCACGTTTGCAACCCGAGCATCCACTGTATACCTTCCTTTTTGTACAATGTTGATACTTCCTTAATGGTGGTGATTTATTAAATTTCTATACAGCCCAGTATCTGAACAACAAGCTAAAAACACCCCCCAAAAAATGCATGACATAGTAACAAACTATGCACACACACACACCCCAGTTTAAAAGGCACTTATATAACCAGTCAAAGGCCTAATTGCAGTGTCCTGGGCTGCCCAGATGACAAGACCCCCCCCCATTGGCCTCACTGATGTGGTTAAAAGAAAAGCAGAGCAATGCATTTGGCGGCAGCTTGGCTATGGGGGTTGCCAGAAGGAGGCATACAAGATGCCATGCAACCGTATTAGGCACTCCTCTGGATTTGCGTTGGGTTTACTCCTTAGTCTTTTCTTCTCTCAAGGATGTCCCACAAGGCAGCAAGTAAGAACAACTATATGCATATGATGTAAAGCAGGAATTAACTGATGTAATACTATGGAAATAATTGAGACACTGCACCCTAAAAGTGGTAATCCAAAGATTATTCAGCATTTCCTACTATTTAGACAGGAGTGCCTGGTCCATGAGGTCATGAAGACTCGGACACGACTAAACAACAACTATTTAGATCTTTCTTTCTTTTTTATTCCTTTATAGGTGTTGTAGCCTATGTTGAAGTATGGTCATCCAGCAGAACAGAAAACTACTCTAAAAGTTTTACTCAACAACTTATTGATATGGGAGCAAAAGTAAGTTATTCTTTTTTGAAGAAAGCGGAATTGGTTACACATTGTAACAATTGTTGCTACCTAAGCATATCAATGAATTTAACCACATTCCCCTGTGTGTTGGACTGTGGCCAAGGTGTATAGCAAAGCACTTTAAAATTAATCAGGTTGTTTTTCTGCCTAAATCAAATATGTTAATAATTGACACATTTTTAAAAGCTGCACATTATTTGCTTACCTAGTAAAGTGGTGTGTTGCTTTTCACTACAACTTATAGGGAGATACTTTATGTTCTTATGTTCTATAGGTTTCTAAGACTTTCAACAAGCAAGTGACTCACGTAATCTTTAAAGAAGGACTCTCCTCCACATGGAATAGAGCTCAGAAGGCTGGGATTAAACTAGTATCAGTGCTTTGGGTTGAAAAGTAAGTACTGCCAGTATCTGTAGACTGCTTTTCACCATAGATGAAAGCAATTTGAAGAACAATCAGTAAAACAGTTCTTCAGCCATATAATGTGGCATTTAAAGTAAACAAAAAACATGGTTTAAAAAAACCATAAATTTCCTAGTTAAGTATAATGCAACACACTTAAAATATCAACAGAATAGAAAGGTCTTCAAGTGCCTGAAGTTCAGCAGGCTGCAAGGTATATCTGATCTCAGCTGAGAGGGAGTTTCTCAGAGTTGGGCCCGCACTGCTGTGACTCCTGGTGGCTGCAAGGAATATGTCGGAGACCACAAACAGTGACTTCCTTGAAGACCTCAGTGATCTGGCAGGGATATAAGAAATCAGATGGTTTTTAAGGTATCCTGGACCCAAGTTGTTAATGGCCTTGTAAATTAATACCTTAAACTTAGCCCAGTAATATATTGGCAGCCAGTGCGAGCTTTTAAGGAAGGGAGTTAAGGGCTGCTGGTAGTTTGTGCCCACCAACAGTCTACCCTGAGTAAAAATTAGTTGAATACAACCAAGTCTTGAGGTTACCAATGCATGAATCATCATGGCCTGGCAATCCCTGTCCTGGAAAAGCCAAAGTTGGCATATCAGCCATAGCTGAAAAAAGGCAGCCCTACCCATTGAGACTGCTGTAGCACAAGTAACAGAGATGGGTACAGGAACACCTCCAAACAATGAACCTTTTGTTTCAGAGGCAACTGGCCAATCTCCAGGGTATGAAGGGGGAAATACTGAAAGCAGAATGCTAGTAGCATCGGTGTGGGTGTCAAAAAATGCAGTATGTAGTTGCATATTTGAATAAAATGGTTGCAAACAACAACTGCTGGCGACAATTATGCAAGATCCAAGGCTGAGCCTCTCAAAGGAGACACGCTTTGGGGAGAGCTCAGAAGTAGTACATGTGTGTCGCTTGCAGAAGGTCCTGAATTCAATCCTTAGCATTGCCAGTTAACAGCATCTTGGATACCACAGCTGGGGAAGACCTTGGAGAGCTGCTACCAATCAGAGTAGTAGACAATACTGGGCTAGATAGCCGAATCGTCCCGTGACAGAAGTATATATGTAGGTATCAAGTATTTTTTCTTAAACAAAATGTTTAAGAAGAAGATAAATGGTACAGTGAAATTTAATGTAAACTACAAGTGCGTGTGTCTGTGTGTGCGCGTGCGCATAAAATAAGGATTTCATTTTTGTAATCTTTAGAGACATAAGCCTGACATGGGCACAGGATATGTCAAAAGGATGAAAAAAAAGAGTAAAGTATAATGATTTCTTATTTGGTGTTTTAGAAACAAGTGTATTCAATTTACCTAATTCTTAAGTGGGTTATCTTGCTCTTTATCTGTGCAGGCTGTTGGCTTTGATAGCTGATCTTGCTTTAATTATTTTTATGTTTCAAAATTTATGTGTGATAGCCAAAGCTTTGTTGGCTGTGACATTAATGAAGAATTCTTCATTAATGCTTCAGGTGTATTGAGTTTTGGGAAAAGAACAAGAAAAAACAAGGAATGTCAAAATTAGCTGTCTGTAGTATTTGCTTAGATCAGCTGAGTATTAAAATTTAATTTTTGTGGCGCACCAATGCAATCTGTCAAATGTTTTCATGACTGTATACATTTTCAACTTCATTAGTAAAATAAAGCAGATGTCTGGGGTATATTTATAATGTGTATGCTTTACAACTGTAAGATCACTAGGTGTCACTAGAAGTGCATTGTTCAGCTACTTAATTATTATTTTTTGCTGTTATCTCATAGTTTTGTAATCTGAATTTTATATCAAGAGATTGCAAATCAGGGATTTTCAAACTTCCTACCTGAAGGGGAACACTTTTCTGTGTTAACTTCTTTGTTGTGGAACACCCCTGTTGCAGTGTTCTGCGGCATAGTTGAAGATGTGCTCTCAGTTCTCCCAGGGCAGTGGATGAGCTTGTTTATTTATAAAGTTTATTGATTACCTAATCAACAAAAGTTTTCTGGGAAGTTCATAACAGGTTCTGACATAATTGAAACATGAAAATATTAGAACGTTAATTGAAACACTGTTGCCTTGGAGAACTGATGTTATTTGAGAACAACCCAGCAGTAACCTGCAGTTTAGATCCTTTCAGGGTCAGCCCTCCCAGTAGCCCCTTCCATTTCTGTTTTGCTGTGGCAATACAAAAACTGGGTGGGATTCAACTAATAAGCCCTGTCTGCAGAAGTCCTATGCAAGAACTTCGACTTTCATAATGGGGCTTTTCCCTCTCCTCCCTCCAAAATTGGCTTGGGTGCGGGTTCAGGAGAACTCCCAGCACAGTGTGCAAGGGGAGGAGAAGGAGTATTGTTTCCCCTGGCAAGCCTAAATGCTTGCTGTGATGGAATGATAGCCTTAGTGCAATGCTGAATTCTTGTGGATGCTTAATGTTTAACAATAATAAACTAACAGTTTAGTATTGCTAAACTCTAAACATTATGGTACTTGCTTCTGTGGTAAAGCAGCACAGGCATTCTGCAAGGCCATTTCACTATAGAAAGACCCTACAACAGATGGTATTGGAAAGCCACAACAGCGAAATCAGGAAGAGGTTGATGCCCTAGGGGTGGCAGTGATAGCTGCTGGTCTGTCTTAGGAGGCAGGATGTTTTGCCTTGAACCTGGAAGGGCCCACAACAAAACATTACAGTTGTGAAGTGCTCGTATTCAGAGATCCAGCCAGGATCTTCCCCAAAAGAAGTTATTCAACATGTTCTGTCTTCACTGAGCTACTTTGAGATCTCTCCCACTAAATATTCCTTGTATGTATACAAAGCTTAGAATTTTTCCAAGCATCTTGACACCACCCCCTTTAGTGCAGTTTCACCTGTAGTGTCTAAAGAAGGATAGACATTCGGAAAATGAGTTTGTTGGTAACATGATCATATGATGAGTAAAGTTTGGCAATGGAGGACAGTTCTTTCTTATAAATAGAGAAACCCTAGAATTTTTTGGGAGTGCAGATTGGACAATAGTGCTGCAGTGTAACACAGTAACAGTTTAAGCCCATTATTAGAAAACTGGCAATTCAAATGCTCTGTGAAGTGTTCACATCATTCATCACAGAAAATTCAGGTCACAAACTCTTATCATAAGATTTACTCCTGCTATATATAGATACTGAAAATGTATACATGCTTTGGGTGAGAAATATTGACCCTGTGTGTTCTTAGAAAATACTTGTCGAGACCATTTGATCCATAATGAAATGCTTACAGTGAAAACACTTTCATGTGAAATTAGCTTTTTGCACTTGCACAGATCATAGCTTGTAATTTATATATAAAAAGTTCATAATCTCTGAAGCTTCTGTAACAGATCTATGGATTCCTAGGAAAGGCTGTAGATAAAGGCATAGTGGCTGGGAAAGAAACGTATCTGTTAGACCACAATGCAGATATTTTGTTTTGCTTTCTGTTACTGCCTGCTGTGTGTGGATTTTCAAATTTGTCTTGGTTGGTTTGACTAGATTAGGCATGACATGAAGGATTGAAACTTTTTGGCTGCTCACAGATAGGGAAGCTACAGCCATGCATGTTAGCAAGAGGTTAGCTGGGCAATTTTATGTTTCTGAGTTTTCAGGACTGAAGAAATGACTGATAAAAGTGTAAGTATTAGAAATAGTGTATGTTCTCTCATTGAAATTCCAGTGCTTGTGGTTTCAAAAGAGTAGGAGATACCAAGGATGCTCACTTTGACCATAAAACAGAGTGACTGACATTTAAGCCTTGCCAGAAGGGCTTTGTCTTGAACTCTGGGTGCCAGCAAAACTAAGGAATGTGACCCTGTCCTTCCTTTCCAGTGCCTAAATTACTAGTTTATTTACAGCTTTGTGGCTCTATCTTCCTTCTAATGAATATAAATAGAAATCGTAGCATATTAAACATCCCTTTTACAAGCAGGCGAGTGGTTCATATGGTGATCTGAGCTTTCTAGAAAAAAATATAACTCTAAGGGATTTTAGATATGATGGAAGGAACAGATGAGAAGTAAACTATAGAATTGTAGAGTTGGAAGAGATCCAAAGGGTCATCTAGTTCAATGCAGGAATCACAGCTAAATAATCCCTGACAGATGGGCATCTTAACCTCTGTTAAAAAAACTCCAGTAAAGGAGAATCCACCACCTTCTGAGGTTCAAGCCCTACCCTTTTGAGCAAGATACCCTCTAGGCCAAGCAGATGCAAACTCCGGCCCTTCAGATGTTTGGGACTACAAGTCCCATCATCCCTGACCACTGGTCCTGTTAGCTAGGCATGATGGGAATTGTAGTCCCAAACATCTGGAGGGCCGGAGTTTGCCTATACTTGCTCTAGGGGTTGTGGCCAGCTGTGGCTTTGCAACCAAATTTTACACTAAAGATATATATGAATTCATTTTTGTTTTGTTTTGCTCAGATGCCGAGAAGCTGGAGCACACGTTGATGAGTCACTGTATCCTGCAATAAATACTAATGAAGGGTTACCTCAATTTTTTAAAAAGGTGTGTATATAGCTTCCTAATGGTTTTGAATGTAAGCTTTAATTTTTATTTCAAATTGATCCTAATTAATCTTTGGTCATCTGAAAGTTATCAGTGGGTTGAATGCTTAAAATTTAGCACAGGTGTTCCAAAGTCCAACTTACCTATAAGGGACCTGTGGTTCAGGTAGTAGTGTTTACTAACATTCTAGCCTTGCACCCTGAGAAAATTATCTGGTAATGTTTGTTATTAACATTGCAGTTATCAGCTGCCCCCCTCAACCGTCCTTTTGCCTCCATAAATTTATGGTGGGTCACTCAACTTCTCATATGAAGCCAAAATGTCTGTAGCCTGTTTTTTTTAATTATTATAGGTCAGTATGGGATGTGCAAACCCACCCTTTGGAGTGTTTCAGTTTATCTTACTCAGCAGGCTTTATGTAGATTTCCAAGAGAGTATCTCCTTAAAATAAAATAAAAAAGCTGCTCATGCAGCGTTCCTGCAGTTTTGAAATTGCGTACTTATAGGAGGAAACCAGTGCACACATGCTGACAAGACTGCTAGATATGGGTAGGAATGTTTTGGCAGCTGTGCTGTGGCTGGTGGAAATATATTATACCTTATATACAGTATTTCTATCTTCCCATGTCCTGTGAGAAATGTGAAAGAAGTATTATTTCTTAGATTTATGAATGCTTTAAATATTTTGTTGTTGTTGTTTCGTAGCACAAATGCATGCAGCCCAAAGACGTTGTTAGAAAAGCTCCAGAAAATGACAGGAGACTGCAAAAAAAGGATCGATGTTCTGACTAAAGAGTTAGCTATGCAAAAAGCAGCAACAGGCAAGTATAAAACCTGTTCTAATGCACTGAAAAGAAATTACTGGGATTTTCAAAAAACTTGAGGATGGTCTTAAGGAATGGTTTTTCAATTGTAATGAAACTAATATCAAGAAGTGGAGGCCCCTGTGAAATTTGTAGGGTCAGATAAACCATGAGAAGGGAGAAGGCAAATGTCTTCCTTCACTATTTTGTTCCTCTTTCTTGTCTTTCCCTACTAATTGATCATTTGTGGAGGAAAGAGGAACAGGAAGCAACTAAATTTTCCACAAACTTGTTTCTCTATAAACTTTCTCAAATCCTCTCCAAGGGCCAGTTTGGGGTCAATGTGCTCTGAATCCTTTGATTTCCCACTCTGCAGGTCTCTGGTTAGAAAGGAGAAACTCAGGCGTGCTCAGCTGTCATACATAGTTCTAGTCTCTGTTCTGGGCCAGCCTCCTCTGCACTCCTCTCTTTGGCTGGATATATTTCTGTGTCCAGGGCAGCTGTCTACCAACTCCATCTGGTACACAGGCTGAGACCCTACCTGCCCACAGACTGTCTCGCCAGAGTGGTGCATGCTCTTGTTATCTTCTGCTTGGACTACTGCAATGTGCTCTACGTGGGGCTACCTTTGAAGGTGATCCGGAAACTACAACTAATCCAGAATTTGGCAGGTAGACTGATGACTGGGAGTGGCCGCCGAGAACATATAACACCGGTCCTTGAAAGACGTACATTAACTCCCAGTACGTTTCCGAGCACAATTCAAAGTTCTTGGTGCTGACCTTTAAAGCCCTGAACGGCCTCAGCCCAGTATAACTGAAGGAGCGTCTCCAACCCCGTTGTTTAGCCCAGACACTGAGGTCCATATCTGAAGGCCTTCTGGTGGTTCTCTCCCTGCGAGAAGTGAGGTTACAGGGAACAAGGCAGAGGGCCTTTTTAGTAGTGGTGCCTGCCCTGTGGAACGTCCTCCCATCAGATGTCAAGGAAATAAATAACTATCTGACTATCTGACTTAGAAGGACATCTAAAGGCAGCCCTGTTAAGGGAAGTTTTTATGTTTGATGTTTTTATTGTGTTTTTAATATTCTGTTGGGAGCCCTCCAGAGTGGCTGGGGGAAACCTAACCAGATGGGAGGGGTGGAAATAAATTATACTATTATTACTATTATTTCCTGGAATCCAGTAAGCTACAATTAAAGTACAGTGGTGCCTCGCAAGACGAAATTAATTCGTTCCGCAAGTTTTTTTCTTCTTGCGAGTTTTTCGTCTTGCGAAGCACGGTTTTCCCATAGGAATGCATTGAAAATCAATCAATGCGTTCCTATGGAAACCGCCTCAGACCAGGTCCGGGGACAGTCTGTCCCCCGACCTCTTCTGAAGGCTGGGGGGGGCAAGGGCTTTTCTTCCCACCGCCAGCCTTCAGAAGGCTGTTCTGAAGGCTGGCGGTGGGAAGAAAAGCCCTTCTCCCCACCTCCCGCCCCGCAAGCTCTGGGGACAGGAGGGCTTTGCTGCTGACCGCCAGCATTTTAAAAGCCCCCGGGACAGCGGAGACTTCTCCGCTGTCCCGGGGCGATTTTAAATGCAGGCGGGCAGCAGCGAAGCCTTCGCTGCCGACCCCCAGCATTTTAAAAGCCTCCGGGACAGCGGAGACTCCGCTGTCCCGGGGCTTTTTAAAAATGCTGGCGGTCGCAGCAAAGCCCTCCTGTCCCCGGAGCTTGCGCAGCGCGCTTCCCTGCTATCCCAGACCGCTTTTAAAATGCTGGAGGTGGGGAGCAAAGCCTTTCGGCCCCCGCCGGCCTTCCTGGACCTCTTCTGAAGGCCGGAGGGGGGCGAAAGGCTTTGCTCCCCACCGCCAGCATTTTAAAAGAGTCCCCGGAGATTTTCCCTATGGGCTTTCTTCTTGCAAAGCAAGCCCATAGGGAAATCGTCTTGCGGAACGACTCAAAAACGGAAACTCTTTCGTCTTGCGAGTTTTTCGTTTTGCGAGGCGTTCGTCTTGCGAGGCACCACTGTATATGTGCTTCACCACATTCAGAACCAACTCTGAGCAAGAAAGGGAGCAGTTTTTGACAGACACTCCAAAGTTTTTCTACAAGGGTAATGAGACCCAGATAGCCAACCTTCCTCACCACTACCCATGTTAGACACTCAGCCTTTCCATACTGTGGAATTCTATAGGATATTATAAATCAGATAACTTATGTTCAGAATAATATTTTCCGTTAAGGTTTCTCCAGAATTAGTGCCTTTTAAAAAGTCTGGTGTAGGCCTTCATCTAGCAGCAGCAATCTATATATAGAAATAGTTTTCCTTGCATGGATTAGCTGCAGCACAAATGCCAAAGTTAGCTACACAGAATAGGGAAATCTGCATCCAGCATCTACTTTCCATGTGTATTTCTCCCTCTCCCCCCCCCTTTTTGGGCTCTGCCTGATTGATCAGTAAGTTTTAAGTAAAATATTTATTAGCAGATAAAATTCCCATACAGTGGTACCTCTGGTTACATATGCTTCAGGTTACAGACTCCACTAACCCAGAAATAGTGCTTCAGGTTAAGAACTTTGCTTCAGGATAAGAACAGAAATCGTGCTCCGGCAGCGCGGCAGCAGCAGGAGGCCCCATTAGCTAAAGTGGTGCTTCAGGTTAAGAACAGTTTCAGGTTAAGTACGGACCTCCGGAACAAATTAAGTACTTAACACGAGGTACCACTGTAGTTTCTTTAGCAGTGACAAAAGTATTGGCAGAAGTAGATAGGACCAGGAAATAGCTGGTGAAATACCAGCCTGATCTTAATTTCCATTGTTGGGTTAGCATGTGTTGCTTATCCCACCTCATATCCCTATATTGTAGTGCAGGCTTCCTCAAACTCGGCCCCCCAGGTGTTTTTGGCCTACAACTCCCATCATCCCTAGCTAGCAGGACCAGTGGTCAGGGATGATGGGAATTGTAGTCTCAAAACATCTGGAGGGCCAAGTTTGAGGAAGCCTGTTGTAATGCAGTAGTAGCTAATGAGAACACCTCCCTACGTTCTTGGACTCCATCAGTTTCAGCCAGCATGGCCAATAGTGAGGGATTGTAGGAATCAGAGTCCAATAACTTGTAGATAACACCACATTGACTGCCTCTGTTGTATTGTATGCGTTTGGTTCTTTTATCGACTGACTGAATCTGTCATGTTTCAAGTTTAATCTCTTGGCCACAATAAACTGAATTGAATATTGAATTGGATGAATGTTGTGTCCTATGGGAGGCTATAGCTGATTGGCTAGAACCATGAACCAGAGTGATACTGTGAGGAGGTGAAGATACACTCTAGCATTCTAGTTGTGTTTCCCACTTGTTTAGATACGTTTGGAAAGTTTTTGGAAACTTGCTCAAAACCTGTAGCTATAAAATTAGCTTTTCAAAATGTTACGTTGAATATTGCCATTGAATATTTAATCCGCCTTATAATTTGCCTTTTAGAAACAGATGCACCAGTTTTGTTATTTAAAGATGATGGTTCATTAGTCTACAGCCCAGCAAGTAAAATAAAGTATCAGTGCAGAGCAATGGAGAAAAGAATAAAAGAAATGAAGGAGAAAAGAGAAAAATCTTTCCCCTACTGGTATGATTCTATGTTTCTTGTGATTTGTGAAAGGGCAAAAATTATTTTACTTTTTTACTGCTGATGTTTTCTGGGCATTTTCACCATTTTGCCAGTATTTTGCCACTGAACCAGACTATAGTGCTGGAAACATACTGATATATGATGTCTTAAGTTTTGCAGCTTATTCATGTGTATGTTCTCTAAATCCATACATATTGAAGCCTTGTTTACTTTGCTCTTAATATAAATAAGTATGAGAAAAATTGCATTAAGCTTTACAGTAAGTGTTGTGATGGGATGTGAAAGTTTTCCTAGACCCAAGAACATGTTACTTTTTTGTTCTAAACTAGCACATTTATATTTATTTTAATCATAAATAGACTTTTTTCTTTTCATGTTTTCTCCTTCTCTGCAATATCAAAAAGCAGAAACCAGTAGAAGTGTGGGGAATATTCTGCCTGTCAGATCTAGATTTAAGAACTCCTCTAAGCTGTTAACAGGGACGCGGGTGGCGCTGTGGGTAAAAGCCTCAGCGCCTAGGGCTTGCCGATCAAAAGGTCGGCGGTTCGAATCCCCGCGGCGGGGTGCGCTCCCGTTGCTCGGTCCCAGCGCCTGCCAACCTAGCAGTTCGAAAGCACCCCCGGGTGCAAGTAGATAAATAGGGACCGCTTACCAGCGGGAAGGTAAACGGCGTTCCGTGTGCTGCGCTGGCTCGCCAGATGCAGCTTTGTCACGCTGGCCATGTGACCCGGAAGTGTCTCCGGACAGCGCTGGCCCCCGGCCTCTTGAGTGAGATGGGCGCACAACCCTAGAGTCTGTCAAGACTGGCCCGTACGGGCAGGGGTACCTTTACCTTTACCTTTACTAAGCTGTTAACAATCCTTCATTGAAGACAGACAAGTCTCTCAGTAGCTTTATGACTATTAAATACTGAACACTTAACACATCTAAAATATTTAAAACTAATTTGAATTTCTAAAAGGCTTGTAAATATAGTACTATATAGTAGTATGGTGTTTGTATTAACACATTAGTATTTAATAAATCTATTTGTTCTGTACCTTAACATGCATTGAAATACAAAAATTGAATCTATGAATGATTTAGCTAATTATTTGCACTTTCAGCTTCACAGATGTCTCAGGGATCTGACTCTAGTTCTAATCCAGCAATGCATGAATCAATTCTTGTTTCTACCAGTTCAGCTTGCGCATTGTCATCAGGTAAAAGGGGGGGGGGGGACTTCTAGTATTCATGTGTAAAAATTAAAACATAAATATAAAATATTGTCTCATGTTAGATAGTATATTGTAAATAAGATGTTTTAACGATGCATATGAGATTAAATTGGGCCGCGGGTGGCACTGTGGGTAAAAGCCTCAGCGCCTAGGGCTTGCCGATCGAAAGGTCGCGGTTCGAATCCCCGCGGCGGGGTGCGCTCCCGTTGTTCGGTCCCAGCGCCTGCCAACCTAGCAGTTCGAAAGCACCCCCGGGTGCAAGTAGATAAATCGGGACCGCTTACTAGCGGGAAGGTAAATGGCGTTTCCGTGTGCGGCTCTGGCTCGCCAGAGCAGCGATGTCACGCTGGCCACGTGACCCGGAAGTGTCTCCGGACAGCACTGGCCCCCGGCCTCTTGAGTGAGATGGGCGCACAACCCTAGAGTCTGTCAAGACTGGCCCGTACGGGCAGGGGTACCTTTTACCTTTACGAGATTAAATTGGCTATGTGGCCTCTTTCCAGGCTTGCATCAGTGGACATGGTGTGTATAATGCTGTAGTCATACAAAGGTTAAGGACTGCTAGGATTTTTTACTGAAGAGAGCTGTTGAATCTTTTCTCAGTTATGAGGGGGAAATGCTAAGATTCTTGATGCTCTAGTATTTCTAATTGTAAGCATAAAAGTATGACTTTTTAAGTCTCTTGCCTTGTTCAAAGCTTCAAAGTAATTTGTGATACAAAGTAATCACAGGAATTAACCAGACACAAGTTACTTGTTGCCAGAGGGTGCAATTTTGCTTGCAAGGCCATATTCACCAAACCTTGTCCACCCAACCATCAGCTGAAATCAGTGGGGGTTAAAGCCTCTTTCAAAAATAACTGAATAGTGTTGTGCCGATTTCTTTGAATCGTCTTTAAGATGCTGGTTGTTTTCTGCTTTTAATGCAATGTTAATTGCTTTCTGCTTGTAGGAGAGAGCAGTGACCATTTAAACTCAAGTTTCACTAACTTGTTGGGAAATTCTAAAAGCAAGAACCTGAAAAAGGAATCTAGCAAATGTGTGCCTGAAGTTGAAGGAGCCAGAGAAGTGCTAGGCAGTTCTCCAGTTAACGCAGGTGACTCCAAACACACAACTCTGAAAGAATCTAGTGGCAAACATTTAAGAAATACACTTTGCTTGGAAGATGGCTTGCTTCCCACAATGGCGAAAGCTGAAATGTCCTCTGCAGAGAAACACAGTGAAATGAAGGATTGCTTTACAGCTAAGACTGGAAGTCACCTTTTCCAGACAAACAATGACTACAGACTGTCTTCAGAAAAACTGGACCACTTGGAATTTGCTGAAAGTAGCAGCAACTGTCACATAAATACAGAAAGTGAGCTACCTAATCAAAATCTTTCTCTGGTAACAACTGAATGTTCTTCCACTGGCAGAAAGCCAAGGAAACCAAGGAGGAGATCAAGTATTGGATTGAATACCTCGGTAATACGTGAGAGTGATTCTCAGAATGACTTCTTGAAATCAGTGCTCACACCCGTTAAGTGTGCTAAAGACCAAGATACTTCTTTTGAAGATTATTTTTCACCTTCTAACGGTAATAAGCATAAAAGTAGAGTTAGCCTTCCTTTTCAATGCCTGCAGAAATCACAGAGTCCTGAGCCAGTGTTGCAAGGGTCAAGTAAAACCACTGCAGTATGTAGCAAAAAGAGGAAAAGGGTGGCTGAGATTAATGAGAATACTACAAGTAGTGACTGCATGCTGTCTGTACTCCCTTGGAGTAAAGAAAGTGAAACTTTAAAGTGCATGTCAAAAAGGACAAAAGGAGACACTGAAGAGACCCCAGACTGTCTTCCAAAGCCCAGCATTCAGGAAAAAAATTCCACACCCAATATAAATAGATGCTTTCCCACAACTGGTAAGTTGCTTCAAAGAATGAACATCCAGAGGTAAAACCCTGTAAGCTACTTAAAAGCATTTGAGAATCTTCATTCTGAAGTGTAGATTGAGAGAGATTTGTTGTTGTTGTTGAGAACACATATTGGTGGAAGAAGACTTCCGTATACATGGTATCAATATTTTGAGTGGGGAAAACGGCAACAGAAAATACTTTTTAGAGGCCTAGATTTGGAAAACAAATGGAGTGAGAATAAGAGGCTTTTTGATAGTACTCCATAAATGTTTTTGTAACCTCATTGTTACAAAATCCACTCCACCAGCCCGGTAGTCCAGCTCTGGCACAGAAATAGGGCCTGATCCTGTGGACCCTCCAACAAAATAGGGGGTGGGATTTGGATGCATCAATATTGTGCCCCTGGAGCTTTCTGCAGGTTCCGTGAGGTTTTGCTGTCTACATGAAGTTAATGTGTTTTTCAAAGTGGAATCAATTTCTTATAAAATCTAATGCTACCAAGAGTTCTTGAATGGTAGAAATCCGAATTACTGTACCAAATTTGGCAGGTACCATTTTTTAAAAGATATATACATCATGGGGAATCTTCAGCATTTGACTTCCTAAGTATATTATTTACTGTATATTATATTATTTTAAGAATCACATTCTTTGAATTACTGAGATTTTAAGGCCTTGATGCTTGGGTGAGTGGAAGTTGTTTCGTGGTCATGTGTTTTATGTTAAATAGGATTTAATGTTTAGGGCTTGCATACTTCAATAATTTCAAGCAAAATACAATGTATAGTCCATATACACTCTTGTGTATGGGAAGTCTTGTTTAGTCAAGTGAAAGTGGGGGGTAAACTGGTGAAAATGAATCATATGCAGTTACATGTGTTTTGTGAATTGAATTTTTAAAAAGAACCCCTGAACAGAATTATTACGAATTAAAAATGTATGTATATGATTATTAAAAATGTGGCATATGTAATGAATACAATTTCAGATTTTCAGCAAAAATTACTTGATTCTCAAAGCAGGTTTATCTATTGCTTTTGTCTCTCAGTTTCTGTGATGTAGATAGTGATTTAAGAATGTACTAAATGTAAAATAATTCATTTATTCTAGTAAAGAACAAGCTTTTTTTAAAAAAAAGTCAGCCTCTTCTATTTATTACAAGTGTTGTTCAGTTCAGTGGGTCTTGCTCCCAAGTATGTTTATATGGGATTGCCAGTTTAAGACATATACTTCACTGGCGCTAGTGGAATTTACTTCTGAGAAAACTTGCTCAGGCTATAATGAGAGATTGCTTTACATGTATTCTAAGTAAACCTCATTGTGTTGATTTCTGAAGTCAACGATCAGCCAGAATTCAAATCTCACATTTGGAGTGAATAATTTGATCATTGCATGGAGAAAATAACAACCCTGCCTTCCTCTTAATGTCTAAACTGAATGCAAATTTTTCAGCAATGATGTGAGGTAGAATGATGCCAATTGCCAATATAATACAGAACAACTTTCAAAGTTACAGCTTTATTTGCTAAATTCAAGTTAAATAAACATGCTAAATAAACATTTGATCATTTGACCATACAATGAAACGCATCCAGTATTTCTTAGAGTTGGTTCACAAATGTATGTACAGGCCTTTCCTAATGATAATCTATTAGCATTGGAGCTACGGTGCAGCATTTTCATCCCATACTACTTAAGTAAAACCACAAGCTCCAGATTGTATGGGAGGGGTTTGTCCCACAGTCCCTCCTCGTGGGTATTTAACTCAGGCATCCATAGCTTAATAAACCAGAGCCCTCTGCATATAACCAGACACTTTCATGGATTCACCATGGCTCCATCACTTTGCTGCAGCATTTTACACTAAATCAGATATCGCTTATATGCAGAAGGGGAGTTTCTTAGCTTTTTCAGGCAGCTCAGGGAACTGTAGAAAGGTTGTTAATCATATATGCATCTGCAGCTATTTGGATCTCTGTCTGATGGTTCTCTTTGGGGATATTGTTCAAAAAATAAGTAATAAATCCATACCAAGTGCCATACTACTGCTATCAAATGCTGTTGATAAGTGCTGCTATTTCCACTATCCAGTGAACCCTACCCTGCCTCATTTATGTCCTAGAACTTCTAATTGTGAATTTTCAACCATTTCAGACTCAGGATCCACCTTTAACCTAAACATGCATTTGGGGACCTATTTCTTAATAGTTTACCATATATTTGAATGGTGATAGTGCTTCTGCTGTGACCCACCTTGGATCAGGCCTGAAGACCAATATTCGAGATGATCTAAATCTCTCGTATTTAGGGTTAACCTCCCATTCTGTCCTTGTTTCAAACTCACAAGGTGAGCGGTAATAAAAACGTTCATGGGGGTTGCACATGGAAGTTGCTATTTCAAGAATGAAGTGCAAAGTGAGTTTCTATTAGTAAAGCTTGGCTTTCTCTCTTCCTGCTCTACAAAGCCCCCCAAAAGCCTTGGTTCCTGAACATTTTTTAGGGGAGAAGCAACTGGAAATGGGTGCTTCTAGCAATCCTCTTCATGCAACCCAGGACTTGACCATGTTCTGCATAAGACCCAGCCTCATTCCATTTTGAAAGCGATACAGTGGTGCCCCGCAAGACGAATGCCTCGCAAGACGGAAAACCCGCTAGACGAAAGGGTTTTCCGTTTTGGAGGTGCTTCGCAAAACGAATTTCCTATGGGCTTGCTTCGCAAGATGAAAATGTCTTGCGAGTTCCTGCAGGGTTTTTTCCTCCCCCCCCCCCTTTTTCCCAAGCCGCTAAGCCGCTTATCAGCTGATCCGCTAAGCCGCTTATCAGCTGATCCGCTAAGCCGCTTAACAGCTGATCGCTAAGCCGCTTATCAGCTGATCCGCTAAGCCGCTTAACAGCTGATCGCTAAGCCGCTTATCAGCTGATCCGCTAAGCCGCTAAACCGCTTATCAGCTGATCCGCTAAGCCGCTAATAGCGCTAAGCCGCTAAGCCGCTAATGGGCTTGCTTCGCAAGACGAAGAGACTCGCGGAACGGATTCTTTTCGTCTTGCGAGGCACCACTGTATTTTCTACCACCCTGTATTGCAAGACTCTTTTAAAAACTTAATACTTCTCCAGTAAAGTATGCTAACTAGAAACGTTCTCTGCTGGGTGTTCAAGTTAAGCTTACAGTAGGCCCCGGTGATGTATTTGTAGACTCCTGAAAATGCATTAATGTATGTTCAGGGAGTTTCTATAACCGCTGATTACAAAGTCGTAAACATTTCACCTCAAATGATACAGTTTCCTGAATGAGTGGGCAACTGAATGCGTGTACATTCATAACCGGCAAGGCTAAAAGTTAAACTTGATATCTAGGCAATAAATACTATGGCTAGAATCCAAAGAATACAGGAGGAACACAGTATATGGATCTGGAGCTTACTCTATAAGGGTCTTGCCTCTTAGGAAGCATGAATCTGTATGGTGAAAAAAAATCTAGCAAAATAAGGTTTTGTACCCACAATCTGGCTCAAAAAAATTGACAAAGTAACTTTGTTTAGGGACTAGAACATCTTGAAGGAGACTTCAGTGGCGTCAGTCTGTACTTTATCCTAATTGACGCAAACACAGATTTAATATCAGTAGCTCTGAAACTTACTTTTTTGCCAAGAGAAAAATGCATACAGTCGAAGTTCATATTTCATTTTTATCGAGTATCATCGCTGGTATTAAAAGATGACAGGTGTCTTGAATGTCAGCTTTTCTTAAATATACCATTTGCATTGTGGAACACTTGAATTGTGGGTGAATATACAGGAAAATATATAGGAACGCGGGTGGTGCTGTGGGTTAAACCACCGAGCCTAGGACTTGCCGATCAGAAGGTTGGCGGTTCGAATCCCCATGACGGGGTGAGCTCCCGTTGCTCAGTCCCTGCTCCTGCCAACCTAGCAGTTCTACAGCACATCAAAGTGCAAGTAGAGTCTGGCGGGAAGGTAAACGGCATTTCCATGCGTTGCTCTCATTCACCAGAAGCGGCTTAGTCTTGCTGGCCACATGACCTGGAAGCTGTACGCCGGCTCCCTCGGCCAATAAAGCGAGATGAGCGCCGCAACCCCAGAGTCGGCCACGACTGGACCTGATGGTCAGGGGTCCCTTTACCTTTACCTATACAGGAAAAAATAATATGGAAAAGTTCACAATTGCTTTATGAAAGCGTGTTTGTACTAAATGAATACTGTATATACCAAATAATGTCTATATAGCAAAGTAAAAAACAACATTAAGGCTGCAGTCCTGTGCACACTCATCTGGGAGTAAGTCCATATGAACTCAAAGGGGCTTACTTCTGAGGAGACAGAAATAGGATTGTACTGTAAACAATCTAAATTATATTGAAATATAATTTTCATTAATGACATTATTAAACTTGCCACATTTTAACCAACAGCAATGGGTTCACCTATTTGTTTCAAATATTTTGTGCTGAAAATAGTAGACCGTAAGATGAAAATAATTTACATAATATTGGGAAACCCCATATGTTTGGAGGGAGGTCCAGGGTGGGATTCACCTAAGGAGCCCTGTCAATGGAAGCTCTTCCCTCCTCTGTGCACCCCTTCACCCCTTGAAATTGACTTGGGGGGATGGGAGAACCCCCAGAACAGCATGGGAGAGGGGGGTCTTTGAAAGGCTGGTGCAAACGGAAAGTTTGTAATAGCATGGCATTTAATTCTACACAGCTTGAAAGAGTCGCATCAGTCACATTTTGAAAAATGTCCATTCTACAAAAATTGTGGGTTTTTTATGTACAGTGCTGCATCTAATCTTATTCCTTTTTCCAGATTATTTACTGCTGTTTTGAATGACCTTGGTTTCTAGGTGGTGACAATTTGTCCATGGATGAAGTCAAAGATGGTTCATGTGAATTTTTGTGTGACCAAGTGAATGAGCCTAATGAGAAATTAATGAGTACCGGGAGACTCAGAAAGGTGAGTGTGCCTGGTCAGAATATCAAGGAACACATACAGTATGCATGGAAATAGGCATATAGGAAGTGCATTATAGGGATACAGCTCTGGAGAAAGACTTCCTTCCATGTGTAGCATTCTTAAATCACCCATCCATCTGATATTTGCCTTCCTGGGGGGGCAGGGAAGAGAGGTGCCAGTATTGTTCCTGTCTTCCCTGCCCTCTCCGCATGAGGGGCAATCAGGGAATCAACAGCAAGGCTTTTTATGATTAAGCCTGATCAGTGGGGCATGCAGCAAAATGTTTCCATGTATTCCTACGGAAGTGTTCCTGTTCAGAGCATGGCCCAGCACTCAACCTTTCTTCCCAACAGAGGCTATGTGAACAGAAACAAAATAAAATCTTGCTTTTACTGGATACTTCTGGCATAACCTCCATATATGGTACTATATAACCAGTAAGGGGAAACTTTAATCTTCATATGATTTACATCTTTATGTCTTCAGTGGAAGGTTGATAACTACAACTCTGGGTGGAAATGTCTCATACTTGTTTGACATGCTCTTCCTTCTTTCCTTCCTTAACCCTGTAGCCATCAAGAACATTGGTCATGACAAGCATGCCTTCTGAGTAAGTACTAGATATTTTGATGACATTCCTGCCTGCGTATATCTTGGTTTGTAGACCCAGGCAGGTGTTACAAGCCAGTGAAGTGTAAACATGTGAGGCGGGTCAGTGGAATGCTAGTTCCTCTTACCTTCCATCATTGTCCTGTCACACTCAACTTATGTATGATGATTTTGTGAAGAGGGGAGCTTTTGGTATCTGTGGAAGCTCCACACCTCTTTTGGAACGCTGAAAGAAATGAGGGTTCCCAAATGGGGGGAAGAACGTTTTCAAACCTTTGCAAATACAGGAAGCTCCCCTCTTCACACAGCCATCCTCTATAGGTTGAAGGTGACTGGGACAGTGATGGAAGGGGGCAGAGCTAGTGCACTTGTCCTTGCTGTCCTTCGCATAGTTACTCTTCATCGGATCATAATGGCAGCATTATAGAACTAGTATTACAGAGACACCACCTTGCCAACAAAGGTCCATATAGTTAAAGCCATGGTTTTCCCAGTAGTGATGTATGGAAGTGAGATCTGGACCATAAAGAAGGCTGATCGCCGAAGAATTGGTGCTTTTGAATTATGGAGCTGGAGGAGACTCTTGAGAGTCCCATGGACTGCAAGCAGATCAAACCTATCCATTCTGAAGGAAATCAGCCCTGAGTGCTCACTGGAAGGACAGATCCTGAAGGCTCCAATCCTTTGGCCACCTCATGAGAAGAGAAGACTCCCTGGAAAAGACCCTGATGCTGGGAAAGATGGAGGGCACAAGGAGAAGGGGACGACAGAGGACGAGATGGTTGGACAGTGTTCTTGAAACTACGAACATGAGTTTGACCAAGCTGTGGGAGGTTGTGGAAGACAGGAGTGCCTGGCATGCTCTGGTCCATGGGGTCAGGAAGAGTCGGACACTATTAAACGACTAAACAACAAATTACAGGGCTATGTAACTTAAATGGCAAGGTTTGGTTGACTACGGTAGGAATAACAGGGCAGCATTCAACTAAACAGTTTTGCTAGCAGAAGCACCAGAGAACTACTTCTTCCCTGGATCCTCCGGAACAGATTCACAAGGCGTCTGGGGAAGGGGTGGAGTTGCGTTATGCAACCAGAAATGCTTCTGCTAGTGGAATTGTTTAGCTGGATACCATGTATAGAGTTGAGCACACCAAGCTATAACTAGCAAAGCTACCGCTAGAAAATATAACATGTGATTAGAAAGTTGAAATTTAAGTATACACAGAGTCTAACTTTTGGTCTTTGGGCTCTGAAGTTTGCTGTAGTTTTCTAAATTTTTTTAAAAAAACACCATAACAAATCTATTTTAGTTACTTTTGTGCAACAGGTACTATAGAACACATGCTATTTTCTAAGGGATGCTACAAATAAGCCAGATGTTGAGGGCGGCTGCCATAATATGCGGATGCGCAGCAAGACTTCTCCACGTACTTAGCAAAGAGCATCTGACCAACTTGCACTTTCCATTCTGTCTAGTGGTGGTTTCTGAAATACTTTGCTTCTTAGGGATATATCTGTGAGTTTGTGTATGTAAACCCTAAAAATCATTACCTGTATGGAGAAACATATGTCAGTGAAGAAGCATGACTGGCGGTGCAACCTTCTGTATGTTTATGCAGCAGCCCCCAAATCTTACTTGTCCTTAAAGTTGCAGCCTAAGTCAAGACCAGCATATTTGTGCTGATGTTTTTTCAGTGCTTATGGATATGTAATGATATGCATTTAGCAATTTTAAAAAATCCACAATTTCAAAAATATTCTATGTAGCCATATTAACTTGTATTATGGACTTCTCTCCATCTCTCTTTGAAGGAAGCAGAATGTGGTTGTTCAGGTGGTGAAGAAGTTGGGAGGCTTTCTGTTTTCAGATGAAGTGCGTGACAATACAAGCCATGTGATTGCAGGGAGCTCCCGTCGTACTTTAAACATATTGATGGGAATTGCTCGCGGCTGCTGGATTCTATGTTACGAATGGGTAAGTAATATGGCTGACCATCCATTCATTGTTTCTTCTCTTTCCTTAACTATTTGATATTTTTAGCTACTTCTAAATGAACACATAATCTTCCATTACGTGAAATGTTTCAGGTGTGCTGATGATCAGGATAGCTTCAGGTTTTGCAACAGTCACACATAAGGCAATCAATACAAACTTCTGAACTTAAGCACTGTTATTTCCACATTTCTTTGGCATTCTGTCAATGTACAATGTTCCCATTGAGAGTTTCTTTTCCCACAAAGCAAACCCAAACTGCAGGCATGGAGTTGGGGGTGGGTGGGTATTGGGAACACAGCAGAGACCGAAGGATTCAGGCCATTCTGCACCCCAAACCAAAGGGAAACTGATTTTAGGATGGATGTTTGCTTTCTGTTGTTAGTAAGTAATCAGGACACAGAACTAAAGCAATAACTGATTCCACCCATATGGTGATTGATGACTGTTGCTAGATTATTATATTGGGGAAGAGCCCCTTGTTTGAGTAAAAGGGCCGAGGCCTCTAATTTCCACACACACACACACAGCTGCAGCTCTTTGTTGCATATCAATATCATGCATCATATCATTCCTCCAACCCTCAGGACTGACTTTACAAGGGGGAAAGGGAGGTGAGAAAGCTCCATTGTACAAACAGATATCTTCTTGCCATTTTCTGGATGCTATCGAGCACTACAACTTTTGCTGAACATCTGCAGATGGTTTGGTGAACATTGAACTGAACATACATGTTAAACCAGGCTTCCTCAACCTCGGCCTTCCAGATGTTTTTGGCCTACAACTCCCATGATCCCTAGCTAGCAGGACCAGTGGTCAGGGATGATGGGAATTGTAGTCTCAAAACATCTGGAGGGCCGCGTTTGAGGAAGCCTGTATTAAATCACGAGTATATGCTTTATTCATCTAGAGTGGGGTGGGGAAATTTGACCCAGCACATGTGATGTCAGGTGCAGAGCAGGCTGGATCAGCTATGCAGTTAACTTCTCTATGGGGAACTCAACCATGCAGCTGGTCTTTCCAGAAAGCAGGAATGAAGTTGACATTAAAGCCTGAGGAGTCAACTTGCATGGCCAAGTTCCCCTTGGGGAACTCGATTGTGCAGCTGATCCCTGCAGAAATCAGCTTTGCTAGCCCTATGCTTGGCACAGGAAGACATAAGGCTGGCAAAGGCTCTTGGGAACTGCAGTACTACTGACTGTTGGGCACTTGGAAAGTGCTGCACAAGGGATTTTGTCAGATGGATGGGCGTCAATCGTCTGGCATCATAATGGCATGAGGTAATTGACAGGTGGGTCATCTTGCTCACTCGTGAAAGTTGGCCCACAAGGTTGGGACAGATAGGGATCTGGCTTGCTAGGCCAAAAGATTCCCCACCTCAATCTAGATTTTCAATTCACTGTATAGGAGTTGCTTTCAGCATTAAATCAGCCTAAAAATAAACTCCAGAAATAACAGCGAGGGGTTTACATATATTTTCTACATTATTTTAAAATCTAATGGGATGAAACACAGACATTCAAAAGAATGGTAAACTAGTATTCAAACTCTACATACTACTATGTAGTTATTTTAAGAAAAATGGATTATAAGCAAAAGGCAACTGAAACCCCACTGTCCCAGGATTGGGAAGGAATCAAATACAGCTGCAGAAACAGGAAGTCATTTAATGCCAGGGGATTTCTGTGCCAGATGGATCATATTTTCTGAAACCGTGTTGAAATAAATGATATCTGGCTAGATGTTTCTGAATCAGGCCTGTAAATAAAACCAATATAGGTATGGCATTGCCTGCAATTGTACATTAATAAGTACTTTTAAACTAAAACTTTTACACAACTTGTTTGTTGAAGATTTGAACTGCATTGTCTAATGTTTGCTTTCTGTTTTCCCCTATTTGGTGTTACGTTAGCCATACCGGAATCTCTTGAAATGTTATATTTCACAAGTATCTTCTTTTCTCCATTAGCAACGTTCAAAGTGACCTGGATAACTTGTGTGTCATGTGTACCGTGCATTGCAAACTTCTCAGATAAAATAATCTGGTATTTGAGTAGGACAAACTGGAAGAGCCCTTGAGGTCCAGGAACAGGGAAAAAAGAAAAGAATGGGGGGGGGGTTGAGCCTGGGAAAAGCTCCAAGAATTTGGTGATGGAGCCAGTATTTAATTTCACTTTCTCCTTATTTCTGCTTGTTGTGTGTGAACCGGGGATTGTAGTTTATCACAAATGCCGGCTTAATTAAACAAGCCCGCTTCATAACCCATGGTTTAAAGTTAGCATATTTTGAAATGGACAGGAGTTTGAGACTAACCCTAGGTCTTTGGTGTATATGCAGAGAAAGTCATTTTGAATGTTAGCAAAGTCACCCTATCCACTCAGGAAAGCAAGATGGGTGTGCAGAAAACAGAAGATTCACTCAGGCATTTTGCCTAGCACTAAACCATGGTTTATTGCTTTGTTTGAAACAGTCCATTATTACTCTTTCAGAGTAATAATGGAAAAGCTTTCAGAGACAATTGAGAGGCCTTCATTCAACCATTAATGCTTCTGAGCCGCTACCCCTTTGTTGATTTAAGAAGGATTACCATGAGAGTTGGCAAAGATTTGGCAAGTCACCGGATACTGTTAGCAATGTTCTTCCCTCACTTACCAGACAATAATTGCATTAAATCTTTTATTGGTGAAAATTTGTGACAGAACACATCCCAGTCTTTTTCTTAAATAGAAGCTAGTGGCGGAAGTGACACACATAACAGAGGATGTCATATTGTTCCTGTGGAAAAAGTCATTGAACCGTTTTCAACTGCACTTGTTTTGATCTTTTGTTCAGCTCTCTTTGTAATGGCCCTTCCGGGTATGGGCATGTTAAATCATTGTTAGGAACACCCCAGCTGCTGACCACTGATCTAACAATGAATGGCTTTGATTTTTGCTGTCTGTTTTATTGTTTCACACATTATCTAATTTTGCATAGCACCAAGAGACAGAAATTGCCAGTGGAGTTAGCTACTGTAATTACAGTCAGGTTACAGCTGAGGAAGGACGGCCAGTTGGTGCAAGGAAGCCTAAACTATTTGTTCATATCCTTGCACGTGTGTCCTATCTAGTGTGGGAGCCGAGAATACATATTTTGAAAAAACTTAAGTTTTATTAAATTTTCATAACTTGAGACAGTTTTGAATTGCTCCAGATTGCTGAAATAAATCAACAACTGTGCTTTGCATCTGAAACCTTTTTCTAAGCAGATTGCCAAATAAGAGAAACAATAAAATAGACGTGTATCCAAAGATCACCAGCTACAAGTGAGTGACTTTTTAGGGCCAAAAAAGCCATACACAAAGGAGTTTTTCTGACTTCCACCAGGTCTTTTCCACAGTTATAGGCTGCTGAACCACAAACATGCTATCCAGGGGAGCCACTCACGCATCTAAGGAACACAAATTTGGTAGATGCTTGGGTCTGTAGCAAGAAAGTAGATTTTTACTCGCAGTTAATGCTGCACAGATAAAAGTCACTGTTCCTCTCTACTTCTCTGTCTCATGGGACTAGTGGCATAGTTGCAATGTATGCCACTATGTAGTGGCATAGTTGCAAGCCGATATAAGACATATTTGAATTTTTCATCAGAGCTGTTCAAAACAGCCAAGCAAGCTTGGTTTCTATGCTACATCGTTTTCCAGCTCAATCCTACATCAACCACGTTACAGCCCAATCGTAATCATGTCTACTGTGAAGTAAATCCTACTGATTTCAGTGGGGCTTACTCCCAAGTAAGTGGGTTTAGCACTGCAGGCTTAGTCAGCAGCAAAAGCAACAAGGGGTTGTGTGGCACCTTTAGCTTTCATGATCATCCAGTACCACAATAAGACAGCATCTTATGACTGTAGTGCATGAAAAGCTATGCTGTGCTTCCTTTGTTGCCCTCTAAGGGCCACAAGACTCGTTTTTTTAACATCAACTTTGGTATTCTCTTGCAGCGGTCCTCTTTGCTGAGGCACCTCACTCGCTGAAGTACAATTGGCGCCAATCTTGTTTACCTCAAGCCTTTGCCTTAGTTTGATGGAGTTCAATTCCACAGTTGTAGCTTAGTTTTAAGAAAGTTTGGAGTTGCCTATGACTGCGGCTGACGCTGTGGTGTAAATCACTGAGCCTTGGGCTTGCCAATTGGCAGGTCGGCAGTTCAAATCCCCGCGATGGGGTGAGCTCCCGTTGCTCGGTCCCTGCTCCTGCCAAACTAGCAGTTCGAAAGCACACCAGCGCAAGTAGATAAATAGGTACTACTCTGGTGGGAAGGTAAATGCCATTTCCGTGCGCTGCTCTGGTTTCGCCAGAAGCGGCTTAGTCATGCTGGCCACATGACCCGGAAAAACTGTCTGCGGACAAACGTCAGCTCCCTTGGCCAGTAAAGCGAGATGAGCGCTGCAACCCCAGAGTCATTCGTGACTGGGCTTAACTGTCAGGGGTCCTTTACCTTTACCTTTTTATGACTGCTTTAAGTGTGGTGTTTTATCTGTTTCATAGTGAAGGTATTGTTTTAACCCCTTATGCTGTAGCCCACCCTGAGATCATGAATGAACAGTGTGCTAGAAAAGAAATAAGTAGAGCTTGGGTTCAATGGCCGGGATCCGAAGACATGAGCAGTTGCTTTCCATTTTCAAAAGAGCATTGAGGTTGTGCTTCTTGAACAGCTGTTTGCCTTGTAATGCAGCAAATTTGCTTCTCAGACTGAGGGCACCTCAAAAGGAGTCTGTGATGCAGCATGGACGTCTGTTTAAAGAGGGAGGAAAGAAAAGAAAAAAATGCCCCAAATCCCAAACACCTGAAATAACACTGTGGGTCCGACCCATATCTACAGACTTGGAAACCCTTAACCTTCATTGAGCTTTTCCTTAGTGTTTTTCCTTGACTTTTAAGTTTTCATCTTGTCTTACTGCACAGTAGTATATCACTTCTGAGAAACAGTTTAAGTTGACTAAAATTTATAGTGCCATGTTTTCTTCGCCATGATACGTCTATATGTCTAATTGATAGCTTTCCAGAATCTGACATGGGGAATAGAGCCCCAATATAGTGCTGCCTGCTCAACTTCTGATTTATTTTATTTATGCATTCATAGAGACTACTCTTCAGTTTCTGAATACAACTAAATATAGTATGATTTTTTTGTAGGTGTTGTGGTCTCTTGAATATGGCCACTGGATGCCTGAAGAACCCTATGAACTCTCTGTGGATTTCCCTGCAGCCCCAGTAAGTAATACATGATTTTTAACTTATTCAGAAATAAGTCAATTTTTTATCTTGGAATATGGATCAACAACAGAAGTGTGCTCACAATATAACCAATCAAATGGTGACAAAAAATTTCTTCCCCTTTACCTTCTCTTGACAAAGGCCTGTTAGTACGGGAATATTCAAACTTTCAAGTCATGTAAAATTTCTAATGAAACCGCCCCATTCACCAGACGTGGGGCTGACAACATCCCTTATGGTGTGATTCCTAAGTGGAAATGTTGTGAAAAGGCTTTTGACCGGTGGGTGGGGGCAACCCTCCTGTCAATCATCTGTTATCAGAATGTCAACTTTCACCCGGGAAGCTAGTCCCGATACTCCTGCTCTAACCCGTACTTAATTCTCAGAGAAAGCAGAAACAGTTTGCTGTTGTTTAAATGCATCCAAAATACCGAGAAATGTCCCAACTACTGGGTGTTATTTAAACATAAAGGAACTAGGAAAGAAGAAAAGTGCAATTTTCCTACAAAATATATTTAACCACACAATATGTGTTGCAGGGCTATTCTGACTTTTAAAATACGGATGGAAATATCTGATATATTAAAAGGGGGAAATAGTTGTCTATTATTATATACTTGGTACTGGATGTAAAGCATAGAAATATTTTTTACAAATCCTTATTAAATATACTAGTATGGGCTACCAAATATCCCCAAATATGTGATTACAAATGGTAGGAATCAGACTACAGGAAGTAATTACAAAACAATGTGCTTATGTACATAATTACAACCATGGCATGAGATAGGAATAGGAATACAATAAAGATGACCAAATGAGTGTCCCTTGTTTTAAGGTAGTCGTTAAAGTTCAGCAAAAGGGCATAAAGAATCACTTCGAAAGCTTAAGTAATTTCTGTTTATGATCTAGATGTATTTCACAGTTCCAGTTATGCACAAACACCTTAAGCTGGTTGGGAGTCCTTTTATTGTTCTCTTTTGCCAAATCATTATTGCATCAGATACCTCTTCTTGCTTGACATTTAATTGCGATGAAATTCAGTGGCTGTTGAAAACAAGCTGATTCCCGAAGGATATATGTGCATGTTATCCAGGCGGGGAAAAACCAGTTAAGCTGCATCTGTGGTCTTAAAATATTTGTCAAATATAGTATTTTGAAGTTATTTCAATAGGCACTTCATACAAAGAGCAAATGTTTTTAGAAATCTGCTGGTCGGATCATCATAGTTGTGGCCTTGAGAGAGTAGCCTGCGCCTTTCCAGTAGTACCATTTAATTCCTTTAAATTTGTTTGTGTTCTGTCGCAATGGATAGTACAGGCCATTCAGATTGGAAGGACCGCATGCATCAAACCACCATCCTGTTTAAAAAAATATAAATGAAAGGGAGTGTGAAAAAATAATAATAGATGCATTGCTTTCAAGTTGTTTATACAGATTCTCAGATTTTTTTATAAATCTTAAAATAATCACACGTACACAACATACTAGAATATATGTATATGTGTATTGCCCACTCTGGAAGAATGGCAGATGCAACTGATAGACTATATGGAATTGGCAGAAATGACTGGCAGAATCCGAGACCTGGGAGAAGAGCTGGTGGAAGAGGACTGGAAGAAATTTAAAGACTACTTGCGAAAGCATTGCAAATTGTATGAATGTTAGAATGATGCGGGATATAAAGATAATATGGTATTAGTGATATAGTTGAAAGGTGTATGTAAAAATGGTCAACAGAACAAAGGTGAAGTCAGAACAATATTATGTCAAACTTAAACAAAATGAAAAAATGGGGAAAAACTGGAGACATAATAGTGGAAATGTATAATATGAAATAAGATTTGAAAGAAGGTGAGGTATTGCTGAATAAGATTCTGTAAAAGGGAACACAGAAAAGGGAGATGCGAGGGAGTCTGGAAAGAGGATTATGGGAATAATATCTAAGAAATTGGTTTTTTTCTTTTTTATGTCTTTTCATGTATTTTTTCTTTGTTTTTTTTTTTTGATGGGCTTTTCACTGTGTTTTTTCTGATTTTTGAGTGGTGTTTTTTCTTTTTTCTTACTTTGTATTGTGAAGTTTGTTTTATTGCTTGAAACTTTAATAAATATCTTTTATATATATATATATATACACACACACACACACACACACGTATACACCTGACACCTGCTGTTCTAGCTACTCTCATTCTAAGTAAGCTGAACAGGAACTGCTTTATATCAAAGACATATATCTTAGTGCACAAGTTCAACATGATGTAGCCCTCTTGGCACTCATCCTGAGATCCTTGTGCTGGATCAAGTGCTTCAACACACTGGATCAAATTTGATCGCCCCCTTTTAATTCTCTGCTCAGTCAACTTTTTAAAAGACCCACAAACACAAAAATCCCTGGACCTATTAGCAGGTTTCTTCTCTAGGGGCACCTTTCTTATAAACACTGTTGTTATACAAATTGATCCCAAACCACAGGGAATTATTTCAGGCACCCCAGAACCTGAAGCTTGCTTTTGCAAGAAAACCACAGCAGCTATCCTTTTCTTATGTGGAAAGTATTCATCCCTTCAGAGGAGGATGCCGTGCCTGCAAATCTTATCCGCTTCTGGGCAACAGAATCCCCTCTGTTGCCATTCTCTAGGTTTTATAGTTCCTAGATATATCTAAAAATGGTGAGTTTAAAAAGTGAGCTGTTCTAGTGGCGCTAGTTACTTTTGCTGGGCCTGCACAGTTATTTCTAATTGTTATTACTATGCGTAATAGCAATTGCTGCAGTGTTTACAGAGTGAAGTTCCTGTGGTAGGAACATAAGAACAGCTCTGCTGGATCAGACCAAAGGCCTATCCAGCTCAATATCCTGTTTCCCACAGTGGCCAACCACTTGCCTATGGGAATCCCACAAGCAGGATATGAGCTTTCCTACTGTTATGCCCCAGCAAATGGCATTCAGAAGTACCGTATTTTTCGCTCTATAGGACACACTTTTCCCCCTCCAAAAATGAAGGGGAAATGTGTGTGCGTCCTATGGAGCTAATGCAGGGGGAAGGCAGGCAGAAAAAGCCCCCAAAAGCTGCACACAAGCTCCATGCGGCTCTTGCGGGCTTTTCCTCAGGAGGAACAAGGGACTGACGCGGCCAGTCAGTCCCTTCTCCCTCCTCATAGAAAAGCCCACAGGAGCCGCGTGCTCCTTAAAGGGTGTGCGGCTCCTGTGGGCTTTTGCGGGAGGTGGGGGTATTGCCATAGCCCCGCGACCCTCTCCCGGCTGGAGAGGTGGCGCGCGGCTATGGCAGCAGCCTCTCCGTTGCATGCCTTTCCGCTGCTCCCCGACCTGCTCTTTGGGGCTGGAGGTGGGCTTCCCCCCGCCAGCCCCAAAGAGCAGGTTGAAAGGAACCTGAAGCCTGGAGAGCGAGAGGGGTCGGTGAACGGCACCTTGTTTTAGAGGGGGAAAACAAGGGGGGAAATTCTCCCCCTCTCTGCGCAGCACCTCCTGTCACTTCGCTGAAGGGGTGCTGGGCAGAGAGGGGAAGAATTTTTTTTCTTGTTCTCCCCCCTATAAAACAAGGTGTGTCCTTTTGTCCGGTGCGTCCTATAGAGCGAAAAATACGGTATTTGCCTCTGATACTGGAGGTATCGGGAGGAATCCAGGAGTTCAAAAACGCTTAGAGCCCAGTAAGTGCCTGCATAGAGTTAACTGCAGCTGCACCAAGCACGCTGGAACGAAACGCTAAACTATAGTTTAGAGTTAGGAGAACTAGCCTAGCCTCCCCTGAGCTCATGCACTCTGCTCTCTTCCCCGTAGCCACAAGGAAGAGGTTTTTTTATTAGTAGTATTAACTGCAGCCGGTCCACATCGGGCAAGACTGCACAAACTGTGGGCAGTATTAACTATGGTTAGTGGAAACAAGCCAAGCCATAGTTTATTAGGCTGTCTGGTTTTTGGTAACTGTAGTTAAGATTAACCACAATTTAGTGTTCAAATGACACCTAAAATGGAAACTGTACCTTTTTTTGAATCTCCTCCTTGCAGAAAGAGAAGATAGGAAGGGGAGCATGTGAGCCCGGTGAGACTAGGTGTAGTCTTGTAATGATAAACCATGGTTGAGCATTTAGTCCAAATGCAGGCATTATCTAATTCTATGTTGCATCCCAAGGTCCGATTTAGCTATAGGTCACAGTACTTTGTACTCAGGTTTCATCAGTTAACACTGTCATACTATTATTGTGACATTACACCGGTTCAAAAGGAAGGAAGGAAGTTGATAATTTGACTGTTCGCCATTCCCATATTTTCTTCACTTCCTGTCTGTCTGCATATCTGACTTGGAGAAGCTACATTGCAGATTGCACCCTTGCAGTCATAAAGTCCTAGTGGTTGTATCGCAGTGTCCCAGGTATTTTGCTGCTGCGATGCAAAACCAGAACTTACTGCTGTTCTGTTGAGCACAGCCCTGGCAACTGAATGTGTCCACTTTTTGGTTAATCGGTTATGTGCTATTTATTCAAAAGTGAGCATCAAAATGGAAAAATGTGAAAGCCATCAAACGGCAACATTTCGGACTTTTCATGGTTTTGCCCAGATACCATGGCAAAATCTACTTTTATGGCTCGATTCAGCGCCAGCAGAAATAGGAAGAGTCTGAAAATAGGAAGTGAGCAGAAAATGCTACTCTTACCTCCTGTTAGCATTTGTGAGCATTTGCAGATGCATTTGTCATTGTCTGCATCCTTTGTGCTAAAACCATTTCCTGGTTGGCTTATGCTGCTTATTTTCCCTGCCGTCCCCGTAACTCCTTTAAGGTGGATCCTGTAGAAAAGCAAAATGGGAAACAAACGAATACATGCTGAAGCAATTGTGGTGGTGAAGTCTGTGCTGGAAAGGAAGCGTTTTCCAAGAAGTATCCTGTTCTGTTCTCCAGTTAATGATCTACTATGTGTCTTTTGCACACAGTATGCCAGGAACTTCTTGTCAACAAAATGTGTTGTTCTGGAAGAGAAAT